CATTTATCAGCAAATTAAAACTTAACTCGTCCTACGGGAGTAAACATTGGGGGCTCTTCAAACCTTTGACAAACAGTTGATAGGTAGTATTTTGGCGCAAGTCAAAGTGTGATGGGCAGTCGAACCTTTGCTCTTGGTGCAGACAGTTCTGGGTACGATTTTATCAGTGTCTCCTCTATTACTAGGCTGTGGGGAGACAGGGCCGCAGTGAGGGCTGGGATGAATGGCGCTGTCTTCCAACACTGAAACCGCTCGCTCACTGGGCAGCTTTACAGAATGTTCTACATATTCTAACAGGCAGCAATACTTACAAACTGTGACATGCCGGCACTGGGTGCCTACGGGGAGAGAGAGACAGAATGAGGACGCCTGAAAGGAAAGAACCGCAGCGCCGTGTACCTAACAGGAGTAACTGGATCTCACTAGTGTCCTGAGCCAGCCTGGCAGGGACCACAGTGCCTGCTCTGCCCTGGGGCTGATCCCCAGGTGACAAGAGCGCCATGGCGGTGTGGTCCGGAGTCGTCAGGGCTCCCCAGGCTGGAAGGACAATCGGAATCCTGTACCCCCCCACCCCCCGACCCCCGTTTTAAACTGGTGGTTCAGCCCTAGCTGGTTTGGCTCAGTGGAAAGAGCGTCGGCCTGCGGACTGGGAGGTCCCGGGTTCGATTCCGGCCAAGGGCACATGCCCAGGTTGCAGCACGATCCCCAGTGGGGACGTGCAGGAGGCAGCCAATCAATGATTCTCTCATCATTGATGTGTCTATCTTTCCCTCTCCCTTCCTCTCTGAAATCAATAAAGAAATATATTTTTTTTTAAAAAAAAAACTGCATTCTTTAAAAAAAATAAAAAATAAAAATATAAACTGGTGGTTCATTCAAAGACTTGACACTTACATCTTCTCCATTTAGAACTGCCACTTCCAGAGTGGATGCTTGGGCGCTCCTTAAATCCTGAAGAAAAGATAAGACTGATCTTTAGCATCCATCCAATTCCAAGTGCAATCTGCTTGACATAACAACAAGAATTACAGCCTGGCCAGTGGGGCTCAGTGGCTAAGCGGCGACCCATGCACCGAGAGGTTGCAGGTTTGATTCCTGGTCAGGGCACATGCGGGGTTGCAGACTCGATTCCTGGCGGGGGGCATGCAGGAGGCAGCTATCGATCACCATAAATGTTCCTATCGCCCTCCCCCTTCCTCTCTCTCTCAAATCAATACACTTTATTTTTTTTTTTTAAATATGTTGAGAATTCTGCCTTAGTATTTTGGGAGGGCAAGTTAGCACTTTCAACCACAACATAAAATGCAGACACCCCTTGGCTCAGACAGCCCACCTCCAGGAAACATCTTGGAGAGACTCCCCCATACTCCTGGGTCGAGGGAACAGCCCCAGCGGCTAAAAAGGGCTTTTTGTTGGAACTGCCCTAGATTGGAGGTCTGCAGACGGCAAATAGCATGGGGGGGGGGGGGGGGTCCAGGCGTTAACTGAAGGGGTTTCCTTCCATCTCGGCAGGAAGCGTCACCGACGGCCCCACGTGGGGGAAGGCCACTCACCGAGCTGAAGCTGAAGCCCACCGAGTGGATGCTCACTTTGCCGTAGATGCCCAGGGTGTCGATTTTCTTGGGGCTGATCCTGTGGGCGTAGAGCAGCGTGTGTTTTCCATTGACAGCCACCTGGGTGGACACGG